CTCTGCTGTAGCACTTTTAATTTTTATTATTATAGCAACCATCTCTTCTTTTATAAGATATTGATGTATTTACCATAATCCCCCAATAGATAACTTCTTGAGTTAGGGCCTTTTTTCATAGCCTATTCAGTGTTAGGATTTGTGCTTTGCATTAGATAGAAAACAAGCATATCATTTTTAAAATTCTTAATTCTTTATATTATAATATAAAGTATTTTATTGTCCTCAGAAAGTCTTGATTGTGTTCACTAACTTGGAGAATTGTTTTGGCTTTAAGGAATCCGTTTGGATTTCTCCTAATTTCAGGGAATTAAAGTGCTAATTCTTTGATAAGCTACCCTCAGAGAATGAAGTTTTTTATGTAAGTTAGGAGATGGGCAGAGTAAACTGGCTTAATTACCCTAGCCTTATTCTTGGAATTAGCTAGAGCAACCTTTTCCAGGACCTAGATTTTCCCTATTCAAGTCCTAGTCTCCTTGGAAGTCCACCTCCTTCAAGACTGAGTCCCAAACTTTCCCCTTCTCTGTTTGCTTGTTCACTGTTAAGATTGCCAAATGTATAATCCTTTTTTAAAAGACATTTTACATTTTTGGTTGATTTTAAAAATAAAAACTGTGTGTATCCATATTCTCTCTTTTTAAAATCCTTTTCTCTTTTTCTAAAGAGTGCTCATTATCAGGAAGCAATATTCTTCTTAAAATAAAAATTAGAATCTTTCAGAAATTAGGTGAGATTTATTTTCTAAAGTCTTTTAAGATTCTATGATCTTCCAGTATTTTGTCTATAATGTTGTAGACGCTGGTGATCGGATGTTTTTAATACTGAGGTTTGTGTGGTTGTAATGTGCCCTTTTCAAAAATAAGACTGGTTTTTAATAGTAACAACTGGACTGATTCTGAAAAAGACATTTAGTTTTCTAACACCAAAACATTTAAAAAAAAAAAATTTGAGGCACAAAAGGAAGATGAAGTTTGAAATTTCACCTGCTTAATGTGTATAAATAAAAATTTTAATAGCTAATTTTTCTAAAATTTCATAGTTAAATATTTAAATTAAATCAAATTTTAGTCATGGGTCTCTCTTTCAATTTTATATGGTTTATTGCTTATGACTTAAAGTTTCTATTTGTACGATTTGTCTTATAATGCCAAAGTAGATATCATCATTCTCTGCTTTTCTAATCCTGTTATGATCAATTTCCATGATGGAATCAACAGCTAACGGATACTAAGGTGCTATATAGCAATTTTAAAAATTGCCCTTTCTCCTCAAAAGGTTTCATATGTTTTTAAGATGGTGAACATTAAATTAAAATTAATTTTCTAATACCTCTTTGACATAGTTGGAAATTTTTGAGGGATCACAAAATCAGGGTTGAAATTACTAGATTGTTATTTATAGTTAAGAATCCACTTTGAACCCTTTAAGCTCTAGTCACTTGCGATTAGAATTCTAAAATCATATTCCTTCATTTCAGTATGCCATTAGTGACAAAAAGACTTAAATAATTGTTTATGAAATGAAATAGAACATAAACTAAAACTTTAAAGTTTAAATGCCTGATTTCTTGAAAAATTTCTGAGAGGAAAAAAGTGACAGAGGAGGGTGGGGGAGGAAGGGCAAGAAAAAAAAGTGACGAATCAGACTTTACTGAACCAATGATCCTGTGTCATCTAAATAATTTTTCCACTGAGAAACTCTTCTAAGTTTTAAATATATATGCAAAATTAATGTTTTTTTATAGCTAGAATGTTATCTTAACTAACTTCATTTTTATACACAATACTTATTTTGGATATAAATTTTCACTGTTTGAAATGGTTCTATTAATTTTAAGTTCCCCCCTCGCTCTCCCTCCCCTTCCCTTTTTTAAGACAGGGTCTTGCTCTGTTTCCTGGGGTAGAGTGTAGTGGTATCATCACAGCTCACTGCAACCTCAAACTTCTGGATTCAAGTGATCTTCCTGCCTCAGCTTCTGGAGTAGCTGGGACTACAGGCACGCCACCATACCCAGCTTATTTTTAAATTTTTTGTAGAGATATGGGGTCTTGCTATTGCCCAGACTGGTCTCAAGCTCCTGGCCTTAAGTGATCCTCCTACCTCTGCCTGCCAAAGTGCTAGGATTACAGGAGTGAGCCGCCATGCCTGGCCTATATTTCCCTTTTATGTTAAGTTGATCATATCTAGTTTTGGTGTTGTCAGCTTCTTGGCTAAGAATGCAAACTAATTAATACATTTTAATGATGGGAAAGAAAACAAAGGTTGACTTTATAATTTGATTTCTTGGATTATTTCATTGTATGTATACCTTGAATTTATGGGATCTGGGAAGAAGATCTACAATTGAACTATTCAGCATATTCCTCATGTTCACTTTTGTATTTTACTTACCAGCTACTCTTTTTTTTTTTTTTTGAGACAAGGTCTTGTTCTGTTGCCCAGGCTGGAGTACAGTGGTGTCATCATAGCTCACTGCAACCTCAAACTCCTGGGCTCAATGGATCCTTACGCTCCAGCCTCTTGAATAGCTGGGATTACAGATGTGCACCACAACACCTGGCTAATTTTTCTATTTTTTTTTTTTTTTTTTAGAGACAGGTCTTGCTCTTGCTCAGGCTAGTCTCTGGCCTCAAGTAGTACTCCTGCCTCAGCCTCCCAAAGTGCTGAATTACAAGTGTGAGCCATCATGCCCAGCCCTCATTTTTTTTAAAAGGTCTTTTTTGGAAATTATAATACTGGGATGCATGCAGAATGAAATAGTGTTTTTTTCTTAATGGAAATGGTATAAGATACCATTTATACAATTAATGGTATATGTTAATTTTTATAGTTCGTAGTTTTGAATTAGATACTTGTTTCATTCTGTTAGGTTAGTAGTGTATAATTTAACAGTGTTGATAAGTTGTAGGGGTGTGTGTGTTGCTTATATGAGGGTTTAAAAATCTTTTTGTGCAAGGAGTGCAATGCGCACTACCCAAAGGATGGACATATTTGAAACACGGACTTCGGTGGGGGGGGAACCAAGGGCAACACACGTAACCTAAACATCTGTACACCCATAATTTGATGAAATAAAAAAAAAAAAATCTTTTTGTGCATTTTAACTAGTTTAGAAATGCTTTTTAAAAAGGATGAAAATATGGCATGATACCTTTGACAGCTACGTTCCAGAAGGTATATTTATAAAGCTAAAATTTCATCATGAGAAATTTTACTGTAATGAAGATCTTATATAGTCATGTGCCACATAATAACATTTTGCTTAACAACAGACCGCATATATGACAGTGGCGGTCCCATAAGATTATAATGGAGCTGAAAAATTCCTGTCACCTAGTGATTTGTGTTAAAGTTGCCTACAGTATTCAGTATAGTAACATGCTGTACAGATTTGTCGCCTAGAAGCAACAGGCTATGCCGTATGGGCTAGGTGTGTTGTAGACTATACCATCTAGATTTGTGTAAATGCTGTACACTCCATTATGCTCTCACAGTTATGAAATTCGTGTAATGATGCATTTCTCAGAATTTGTCCCTGTCATTAAGCGATATATGACTGTATAGCAAAATGATTTTTAAGTGCTCAGCTGATAACATGTAAATTCCAGTATGATAATAGAATTGGGATCAATTCTTAGAGTTCTTTAAAGTGGGATTTAGCCTAGAGTTAAAAATGATTAAGATTTTTGAGTGGTTTCTGTTTGCCAGACACTGAGCTATGTGCTTTACATGTATTATCTCATTTAATCTTCGTTATAATCATATGAAATATGTGCTATTGTTTAATAATAAAATTAAACAATATGTTTATATAGTCACATAGTAAAAATACTATATATGAGTCTCACAGGGTGTGAATTGTGAATCTTAAAAATGTTCTCTTTTCTTCCTACTGTTAAGTCCTTAATGCTAAACAAAAATTATGTATTTACTTACCATAAGCATTACACTTATTCTAGTTTAGGGACAAGCTACTATTCAAATAATTGAGTAAAAGAGATTTAATAGACCTCAGAACTAGGGGAATTTAGTTAAACACAAAATTCACTAGAGTCTCTTGTGGTAGTAATTCAGACATTTATGGCAATAACTTCTGAAATTAAAATTTTTTTCCTTTGTAATAATTCAGTCCAAATAATTTGGAAATGGAAAAGCAAGAAAGCTTGCTTTTTTCTTCCTGAGGCTAAGGAGGAATGTGAATATTGAGTTAGCTGTGTATTCCAGTATTTTAGATTTCCGGTATCTAGGTTTTGAACTTTTTTGCTTTATAACTAAAATGGTTTTTTAAAAGCTTGTTTATTTTGTAAAATTTATGCTGTTGCGTGTGCATGAGAATTCAAAAAACAAATTCATAGTTCGAGTAAAGTTTAAAAGTGTTTTTTGGGATAATGTTTATTCTAGCAGCATTTTAAAAGCCCAGTGAATTATAAACAGATTGTAAACTTCTGAAGACCAGGGTTGTGACTTAGTCGTCTTTGTTTTCCCCTAGAACCTTGCATGCAGAGAAGGCCATGAGTAGTTATTTTTTGATTGAATTAATCTATGATGAAATACATCCAACTAATTTTCTGTTCTTTTTCAATTAGTTGATAAAAAGCCAGAAAAATATAAACTAAAATTTATTTAAAATTGTGTTTTCTTAAAGAAATAATTACATTTATTTCAGAAATGTGAACAAGAGGTAACAATTAAAGATTAATGTCACTTAGCATTTGAAAAATCAAATTTACTACAATACATTATGAGGTGATTACTCATTTTTATGAAAGGATACTTTAAAAAATTATTTATCATTTACTGATTCATCATAGTTCTTCAAGTAGTGCCTAATATTTTATTTATTAAATTTGGGTTTATTCAGGAATGAAACATTTATGTAAAGTGAATTACATGTGTACATCAAACGTAAAAATTGAGCTTTTTATAGGAGAAAAGATTAAATTAAATATGTCTGCATTTAATTTAATGAACTCCTTGCTAATAGTATCTTTATTTTATAGGAAGGAAAACTGAAACAACTTGCCACCTTGTCTGGAGTCACATGGTGAGTTTAGAGATCAAAATTAGATCCAACAATTGGTGAATCCCAAGTTTCATGTTTCAAAGTTTGGTGTTACTTGAAGTAACTCATAAAATTGACTGATGTCATGTGTCAGTACTTAGGTGACAATTTACAGAAAGTCAACTCTGCAACTTGATGGGCGACAACCCTTTTCAACCAAAAAGTAAGTGTTGCTAACATGACCGATACTGGTATTTGTGGTATAATTTTGCTTCAGGAGAAATGATGGGGTAGGAGATGTTTTCTTAAAAACACAAACCCTTAAAATTGTTAAAGTAACAAGTACTCACATAAAAACAAATAATGTAAATAAAAAAGTGAGTGAAGTAGAAATATGAAGTGTTTTCTCTCCATTCCTAGAGGTAACTACTATTATCAATTTGGCATACGTGATCACATACGTTTCTTCTATGCATAGACAAAAAATAAATTATTTCTAAAAAATTATAAAGCTATTATGTATCTTTTAATTTTTTTTCTCAACAATATATCCTGGCTGTGTTAACAATGGCAATGTCCTGTTAAAAAGAACAAGGAATATTATTATATAATGTGTTAGTTTGCTTGGGCTGCCATAACAAAGTATTACAGACTGGGTGGCTTACACAGTGGAAATTGTGGAATTTTTCTTACAAGTCTTGAGGCTAAAAGTCCAAGGTTAGTATGTAGGTTTGGTTTCTTCTGAGGGCCATGAGGAAAGGGTTCCAGGCCTCTTTCCTTGGCCATCTTCTTGTATCTTCCATGGTATCCCCTCCTGCAGGTGTCTGTGTCCTCATCCTCTTCTATTAAGGACACCAGTCATATTGGATTAGGACCCACCCTGGCAACCTCATTTTAACTTAATTACCTCTAAAGACCCTGTCTCCAAAGACAGTCACAATTCTGTGGTAGTAAGTATATGTCATATATCTTCAACATATGAATTTTGGGGAAACACAGTGCAGCCCATAAAATATACCAACTGGATATAAATGATATTTTTATTATCAGTATACAATAGGTCTCCCTAATTGTTTAAAATTAGACATTGCCTGACTTCATCAAATCCGTAGATTATCATGTGCTATGTGCCTACTGCCCATCTAATATGTAGGGGGAAATATACTCCCAATGAGCTCAGTTGGGCCTTGGGTATATAAAATTAAGACACATGAAATGGTAAGCTGTTTGAAATGTATGTTAAATATTTAATTGCCTGATATAGACTGTCAATGTAGTTTAGAATTTGAAGAAAAGTAAAATCTTATGGTTTGCTAAGGGAGTTATAATTGAACCAAGAGTTAAGAGGGGCAGGAAATTAATATTTTTTTGGGTATCTGCTTGAAGGTAGATACATTATATGGCATTTTCTTGAAGCTGTGTAATACTTTCATTAGGTAGATATCATAACCATATTATAGATGAGGAAAATAGATTCAAGTAATTTCTCCAGTTTCACATGATTAGAAACAGTGCAGTGAAGATTTGTACTGTTCAATTTGGTATCAAGTACATGCTCTCTTTGCTCTAGACTGAAATGATATAGATTGTATAGGTAAGAAGGAAGGATATTCTGTATAGAAGAAGCAGTATAGATATTAGCTCTTGAGATATACAATGAGGTTGGTGTTTCAAGTATTGAAAATATGCAAATTCTAAGCTATGAATTGCTAGTGAAAATTAGTATGTTTAATTATTTGACTTGAAGAAGTCTATCTAATTAGTAAAAGAGTACAGTTAGAGAAAAGAGGGGTCAGTTCCTGATGTTGATGACATTTGGGAAAATGGGAAGGCCTTTTTTTGGGGGGGTAGGTAGACTACTAAACATATAAATAACATTAGACCAGGAAATGATTTGTGACATTTTTCAGGTGAGTAATGTCTAATTTGTCCTGATGAAATAAGCCCCACTTATTTTCCATATTTTATTCTAGCATCCTTTCCCTGTTTTGTCCTATGCCTGGCATTTTTGAATCTGGTTCAGTTTTTCTAGTTTGTCTCCCAGTGTTGCCTTGTATTCTTAGTTTATTTCTCTTTTGTTAATACATTTTTTTTAAAAAAGATGATGGTTAGGTATAATGCTTTTTATAGAGATAATCATATACTAGGTATATGACTGAAACTCACTTTGACTGGATTTGACTGTTCCACATTTTCTGTCTACTGTAAATAACTGATGTCATCCATTACCTATCTAAATTTTCCTAGTTTATGTCTTAGAGAGTAAGCTCTGAGTTTCCCATGTGTTACCATGTACTGACTACAAATATCAATTCAGAAATTGCTACTAGGATTATTAATGTAGAATATTATACTATATATTACAAAAAGTTTTTCTTTCTGAAAATAAGGTTTACTTCTCTCCTTTTGAAAATTAGATAATTCAAAAATGGCAGAACTCTTTATGGAATGTGAAGAAGAAGAGCTGGAACCATGGCAAAAGAAAGTAAAAGAGGTTGAGGATGATGACGATGATGAGCCCATCTTTGTTGGAGAGATATCAAGTTCAAAACCAGCAATTTCAAGTGAGCATTTACTTTTAGTGAAGCCAAGTTTTATAAGATATTGTTTCTAATGAAAAACTTGTAAACTGTTTTATAGGTACTTGACATCCTTGTTTCACTGCAAGGAGTTAGAGATGAGAGATTGGGTGGGAGGCCAGTAAGAACTTGAGAATCAGTATAGGGATGTGACTGGGGACTTGAAGAAGGAAGTAAGAGATTAAATATCAGATGGGAGAAAAGAAATGGACTAGTATTAGTTGGTGACAGTGGAGGTCTTCTGAGATTGGAAAGCATAATTTTTAGTGGAGCTAAGTAACAACCTATTTATATTTGTTCCTTTTTATTTTTTTCACTTAAACCCAGAAGCACAGAAAAGGAAGGATTTGGAATGGTTGCTTAAGATTTCAGAATATACTAAATGAGTTTATGTTAGTCTCAGGTGGGAGATCTCACATCTAGGCCTCCTTACGGTGTCATCTATACATGACTAAAATGTATAGGCAGTGAGTGATAGCACAGTCTCTGGCCTGTATACTGACAGAGGCTGTACCTTCTGACCACATCCACCTTCCAGCAACTCCTGTTTATATTCATAAAAGAGAAGGGCATCATCTACAGCCACTGTACTTGGATGATATAGCAGTTAGTTCACTTAAATCCTTATTGCTTTTTACAGAACAATTTGGTACCTTTATGGATTATTAGCTTTCAGTTAGAGTAATTGGACTTGACATTGTTATAATGTTAAAGATGCTGATGTCCACTCAGAAATGTGTGATAGAATGCAGAGAAATAATGCACAAATTTCAGGGAGAAAGAGAAAATAGATCCTTTTCCATTTCATTTACATGTTTGTTTTAAGCCAGGAGAATTTACCGAAGAATGTAACGTACCCAGCATACTAGTATGCTTTTACTTACCATGGCAGTGCTTGAAAAGTGTGATTACAAGGCTACTTTAAAATTTTCTGAAAGCCTAGTTCTTACTTCTGTTGCCTCTAAACTTGGAATGGCACTTTTATTCAGTTTTACCAGAAGGAGAATAATTTAACTGATTGAATTTTTAATACCATTTCCTGAGGGGCAGATTGTAATCTCTCTTGGAGCACTAAGTAAAGTGCCTCTTGGATTATAAAATGAATTAGGAATGATGGCATGCATGTTGGTGATAGCAGAACATAATATTATATTCTCTTAGTTATTGTTTCCTAGTCACTGATTATTTTATGCTGGATATTATCATATTGCAAAACTGTTATTCAAAATCTTATTGAGAACATGGCAGTTAAGATTCATGTTGGATTTGTACTGATTGTGGATGACTGTTAACAATATTAAACTAGAACAACGTATATTAGTTTAAAATAATTCTATTAAGAAGGGGATTGACCCCAGTAGAATTTTTCTGAACTGTTAAGATGAAGAATTAAAATGATTTTATTTTTGTTTTACGTGTAATCCATAAAATATTTTAACATATATAGAATATGAGTTAAATATGAACTGCCAGAAAGGAGGCAAAACTTGTGCTTTTGTAGATTACAACCACTAAAAAGTCCTACAGCAATAGTTCATTGATGGTTTGAGTAAATATTTAATCTTGAATTTCTGAGTGAAAACAGTATCAAGTTGTTTGAGCAGGGTTTCATCCAATAAAATTTCTGCAGTGGTTAATTATAGAGCACTGCATTGACATTACCAGAAAACCATATTTTTGTGTGAACCTTTACTTTATAGAATTACTTAATGGGATCTGGTTCTTTTCTACTATGAGGGAAAAAAAGGGAAATTTTTACAAGATCTGGTGGTTTTTTTGGGTACTTTTTTCCAAACCAGCAATTTTAGGCAAATCCTCACTCTTCCAAATTTTAGTTTAGTAAGCTAAAAGTGACAGAATTTACATGTGTGTAAGAGTGAGAAACTTTAAACTGATCCTCAAAATCATGTCAGGCTTAGATTGACTTCTGGTGTAGTGGTAGATTTGAAACTACTTAACTGAAATACTCTGGTTAATTAACTGTTGGTTCATTTTAGTCTGAAATCTCTGATAGTTTCCCCTTCAGAATTTAAAAGTAATGGTAGATAATTTGATGAAATGGTCTGTAATGAAACTTCAGGGCTTTTAGGAGCATGAATGGAATGTGGAAGTTGGGCAAGGCTTTGATTTTGAGTCATAGGAACCCGATTGTATATACAACCTTGTCATCATTCAAAGGAAGATCTATCCTTCAATTGTAGGTTGTATATAAATATATTTTTAGAAAATTTTTATTCTGTGGATTCTTTGCCATACAGAATGTTTTTGTTTATATATAGTCAGATTCTGTTACCTCTGGCTTTTAGATTTTGAGTTATACTGAGAAAGATGTTCTTATTCTATGAAACAATTAATGCTGGTAATCTTGTTTCTTTAGTAAAGACATATGTGTTTAAAATTAACTGTATTCTTAAATCAGTGTTAAGTTATATACTCCTTCCAGGAATCTGTTTAATTGTTTTCGATTCATGATTTCTGTTATCTTAGTATATATTTCATTCAAACAATAAATTTTAAAATAAATATAATTTTTTGTAGATATTTTGAACAGAGTTAACCCCAGCTCATATTCAAGGGGACTAAAGAATGGTGCACTCAGTCGAGGTACAGTTTTATTGTACTATTTTCATTTTAAAGTGAAGTGTTTTGATAAAATTGATTATATAGAAATATATTCAGTATATTGTGATATTTTAAAATACAGGTATTACTGCTGCATTCAAGCCTACAAGTCAACCCTACATGAATCCAACATCAAATCCAGTGACTGCCTCGCCAGTAAACTTTCGTCCTGAATCTAGATCTTCAGATAGTTCTGTTATTGTTCAGCCTTTTTCTAAACCTGTAAGTGTTTCTGAAACTACACAGTCAGCTCAGGGATACATTGGATTTGATATATCAATATCAAGAATACCTTGTTAAAATTTTGGACTGTCATAAGTACTCTTCCAGAAGAAGCATAATCAGCCTCAAAAATGTCACCATCTTTATGATAGCTCAAGCAGTACTCAAAGTACTGCGGGAGCTACTTACCCAACCTGTTACTAAATTAGGTAATATGCTTAAATTGGTCTAGTATTGAAAACTAAGCTATCAAAACACAAAAGTATATACTCAGTAATAAATATTGCATAATGGCAAAATATTTAAGATTGCAGACTGGGCCAGGAGTTCTCAATTGGAAAAATTATCAAGAGTCCATTGTAGTTTTTTATTCTGAAAACATTCCTTCATAATTTAGGTATTTTAGAAAAACTTTAACAAAAAGTAATAGATAATGGTGGTAGTTAATATTTATTGAGCTGCTAATAGGTATAAGGCTTTGTGCTAAAACTATACATAAATTAATGTCATTTGATTCTTAAACATCCCTATGGAAGTAGTCACTTGTTATTATCCCCATTTTATCGTTGAGGAAACTGAGGGTCATAGATGTTAAATGATTCACTCAAAATCACAAAGCTGGCAGATGCTAGATCTCGGATTCCAATACAGGCTAACCCATAGTTTATATGTATATATACACACACTTATATGTTGTATATAAATGTATACTTTCAAAAAAATGGAAGAAATTGCCTTAGTTCAGTAGTTCTCAAAGTATGGTCTGCAGTCCCCTGGTGTTCCCCAAGACTGTCTCAGGGCTTTGAGAGTCAATGCTGTTGTCATCTTAGTCAAAGACTATTTGCCATTTCAACTGTGTTGACATGTACACTGATGATGCCAAAGCAATGATAGGTAAATTACTGGTGCCTGAATGTGAATCCAGGTAGTACCACCAAACTGTACTCATAGTTTTTGTGTTTGTCACCCACTGTTCATTCATAGTAAAAAAATATTCCACTTGTACCGAATTTCCTTGATGAAGTATTAAAATGTTATTAATTTTGTCAACTCTCTACCCTTGAGTGTATGTCTTTTAAAATATTCTGTGTAGTGAATTGGGTAGTATGCCTAAAGTGCTTATATGTCTGAAGTATGATGATTGTCTTGAGTAAAAGCACTTGTGTGATTGCATAATGGCAAAACTACCTGCTTTTTTTAAAAAAAATATTGTACCATTTTTACTTGAACGAATGACTGACAAGTCATGATGTATTAGTTATTTGTTTCTGTATATCAATATTACCATATAACTTATATGGTCTAAAACAACACACACTTATTATCTCACAGTATTACAGTTTCTGTGGGTCAGGAGTCACGTCATGGCTTAGCTGGATCCTCTGCTTGAGGGTCTCACAAGGCTGCATTCAAGATAGGGTCCCTGAAGTTGCCATCTCATCTGAAACTCTACTGGGGAAGTATCTACTTCTAAGTTCACGTGGTTGTTGGCAACATTCAGTTCCTTAAGGGTTGTTGGACTGAGAGTCTCAGTATGTTGCTGGCTTTTGGCTGACTCCTTGCCAGGTGGGACTTCCAACATGGCTGCTTGCTTCCTCAAAGCTACCAAGGGGGAGAGAGTCCTTAGCAAGATTTCCTTACAGTCTTAGGTAACATAATTATGTACACAAAACCATGTATATCCTATCACCTTTGCCATATGCTGTTTAGAGGCAAGTCAGAGGTGCTATCCAATACTCAAAGGGAGGGAATCACACAGGATGTGGATACCAGGACCTGGACATCACGGGAGCCACTTTAGAGTCTGTCTGCCATACACAGTTACTTAATCTTGAGTGTTTGGCAAATATATCCTCAAAACTGAACAAAGTGAACCTGTCACTTAAAGGAAAACAACCAATAGTAATATTTTTTGCCAATGGTAAAATTTTAATTTTCAAGCAAAAATTAGGATTTTAGAAAACTTTTATCTGCCACCGTGATTTGACAGCTTCCTAATAATTCAAGACTTTTCTGATAGGTGGTAGTATTTATAAATAATGATTTTTTTATATTATGTAATGAACTATATTAACATTTGGGAGATCTGCATGATTTGATGAAACCATTATTTTCCAAATAACCAATGTATATGTTACAAAATTATGCATTGGTAAAAGATCCATTTAAAATCTAAGATAGACCAGTGATTTTAATGGAACAGAATACTAAAAGTTGAGGGATGTGGCTTTAGATTTCACACTACCACAAACCTTTAAGTAAATACCAATTGTTGAGTTTCAGTATAATATTAAGTAATATATCAACAGTTATCTTAAAATGCTATTAAAATACTGCTTTTTCATTTGTATATTGCTGTGAAGCCAGATATTTTTTATATTCTTCAACCAAAACAACTTGTCCTAGCAGATTGAAAGGAGAAGCAGTAAGAGACCGTAGCAGTTTTTGATTTTCAAGAGATTTGCAAAGATGTAAAACAGTGCCACTCTTTGCTAATTTTTCTGTGTTCGCAAGTCATTTTTCATAAATATTTATGTTAATTTGTAATGGGT